TGGGATCCATGCACCCTGCTCTCCTGGCTCTCCTTCCTCCCTGAATGCTTCTCTCTCCCACTCTCTGTTCCTCATCCTCCACCTCCAGCTTAAATGGAAATGTTTCCTATGGTTCTATGCACCACACATCTCTCTTCTGCCTCTACCTGTCTCCCTGGAAGACTGCTGCCACTTCTACCCTGTCACCACATAACGCAACCTTGGCCTCACCCCTGAATTTGCAATTAGCTCATGCACCTGTCCACGCAGATGTCCCCCAGCACCTGAAGTGGCAATCCGACACTCTTCCACCCTCCCTCCGAGCTGCCCAGACCTGGGAACCTCAGCCCCACTTCCCACACCCGCCAAGTCCCAGCCATCCAATCTCAACGTCGTGAGTCATCTTCAGCATCTCCTTTCCCTTCCCTACCACTGTCCCAGTGTAGGAAGGGGCATCCCCAACCTGCACGCAAGACAATTGCCCACGTGGCCCCAGGATGGCAGCCCCCATCTTCCCCGAGCCATCGACTCCCCACTATGGAGAGTCATCTCCTATTAACATGCACTCCTCCCCTGCTGAGCCTTGCCAAGTACCGGTCACTGAGCAACGTGCTCTAACAGTTTGGCACACTGAACTCTCTCAAGCCCCCTCCGTGGGTACTATTCCTGCCTCCATTTGGCAGAAGATGTAGCAGAGGCTGAGGAAAATCATATTGGTGGACACACAGTTAGTAAGCAGCAGGGCTCAGAGTCTAACCAGGGAAGAGACCAGAACCCACAGTCATACTGCCTCCAACCACAGACCAGATTGGACTAGGGAAAAAAAAATGCCCCCCAAAGAAGGCAGGGCTCCCTACTGCCTAGCAAACTCCTGGCACAGTCCTTAAGGCCCTCCTGGGCAGCTGTCACCTGCACAAGGCTCATCGTGCTAGACGCACCCATGTTACTTTCCACTTGGGTTCCAGCCACCTCTGCAGACACATCTGTGCACCCAGACCTCGTTCCAGCTCTGGGCTTTTCCCAAACATATGACACCTTTGCTGGCTTTGCCTTCTCGCTTGGCTCAGCCACGATGCCCTAGTGCCTCCCCAGATTCAACCCCAGGCCGCTGACTTCTCCTTCTTTAGCACACCCAGCACTTTGCTTATCCCTTTGCCGCAGCCTTCATTTTATTCTACTTGATGTGATGGTCAGTTGCATATTCATTTTGCCAATGAGACTCTAATTACTTTGAGGGCAGCTCCCCGCAACAGACTCATTTCTGTACGTGTTCTGTATCTAACTCAGGACATGTTTGATATTTGTGACGTGGCCCACTGCCACTGTGATGATTTTACCCCTGCCTACAGACTTGCACATGACGACACAGGGATCTCATATTCAACCAGGTGGTGGGGGTTGGGGGCTTCCGGACCCTGAGTCGCTATCTGGTCCACTCACTTGTTCTGATACATGCAGAAAAATCATAGCTTACAAGCTGCAAAGTTCATTTTCAAGGAAAGAGTAGAACAGCTTTTGCATTCTGACACCTCCTCCCGCTCTCCCATCCCACTTCCTCGGAGAACAGCCTCTGAGGCTGGCTGGCCGTGGGCGGGGTGAACACGGCTCCCGGGAAGGACTGACAACTTCTGTGAGACACCATGCGGGACACGGGATGTGTCCCCGGAGGGTGGAGCTGCAGTTCCCGCACTATCTCAAGTTTGGTTTGAGCCCTTGGGATGAATCTGAGAAAGAGAAGAGTGCTCACGGGTGTACTCCCTTCCCATCCTCCACACAAATGCCTGGGGGATGTTTTTCTGTGCAGAGCCCCAAATGTCATTATTCACAACCTCTTCCCAAGTCTCTTTAGAGTCCACAAAACACATGCCACGGTAAGGCTTAAAATGAGAAAAAGGAAAGAAAACTCAAAGAACTACTCCTGAATCTGTTTAGCTTGGCAGAGCTAACACAGAAATCCTGGTGAACCCCTGGGACTATTTCTACACCCCCAATACGCAGCGGTTAAAACTTGAACTCCACCCATAAAGGCATCATGCCAGAGCCCAGCAGAACATACAGCTTCTCCTTCCCCTCCACCCACCCCACCTCCTCACCAGCACCTCAGCTCCCTATGCACCCCAACCCCCTCTGGGCTGTCCCTGGGCCCATTCCGTGTCTGTTATGCCTCTGGAGTATTTTTCTTTCTCATCCAAGAGGCTATTTGTTCCATAGAAAGAGCTTTTCTTTCCCCAAATCAGGACAGGTGTGGACAATCCGCTTTCTAAGCCCCTACTGAGCCTTTCTGCCAGAGGATGCAAGAAAAACTGGCTGGACACTGCTTTGAGTGTGGGTTTGGAGAACAGAATGCCTTCCTGAGCCTCAAACAGGGGGCACGGCATAATGAGCTCGTTCTAGAATGGCCACAGAAAGGATCTGTTTCCAGGCTGGCCTCTGCCCATTAATTAATTATATCCCAGAATGCTTAAATCCACCTCTCACACTCCCCACCACGCTCATCCGCACTTCGCTCTTTTCTCTGAAGGTAAAGCTAAGCACCGAGGGAAAGGAAGGGTAGAGATCGTCTCACGAGCATCTGCCACGAGCCCAGCTCAGAGCTGAACACTTGACGTTCATTCAGTCCTCGAAAGGACCGCCCCCCAAAGTAGCTACAGTCATTATCCCAACACATAGAAGGAAAACATGAGGCAAACTCACAGAGGTTGAGCAACTGGCCCAGCATCACACACCAGGGGTGGATGATAAAAGAATGTTGGCTTTTGAAGCCGACAGAACAATCTCTGGCACACCGAGGGAAGATCTACACCTGTATGCCTTATTTCTACATTCCCACCACCCGGCTGGGAAACTGTATTCCTTCTCGTGGTTCTCCACCTATTTGTCTCCACGGAAATAAATCTCAGCATCCCTATCTGTTAAATCTGGGTTGGAAAGGGATCGTGGTGTAATGAAAAGGATAGTGCTGCTCAGCAGAATAGGTTCCAGTCCCACAAAACTACGCAGCTTGCATGAACCTCAGTTTCCTCGATGTTCATGTGGGGTACCAACGCCCTCCTCTGTGCCTCACCAGGAAGGGATGACAACTTCAACAATGAGAGCGTGCAGGGGAACTAGGGTAACCAGCTGACCATCATCCAAGAGTTTTCCCAAAGGGTATGCATTACCTCAGTAGGGATAATGGTGGTAGGCCAAGTAATGCCCCTCCAAAGCTCTCCATGGCCTAATCCCTGGAACCCGGGCAGATGTTATTCTATGTGGCAAAAGGGACTTGCAGATGAGATTCAGTTAAGGATCTTGAGATGGATCCTGGGTTATCTGAGTGGACCCACTGTGGAATCCCAAGGATCCTCATAACTAACAGAGGAAGGCAGGGGTGTCAGAGTCAGAGAGAAATTTGAAAATGCTAAGCTGCTGGTTTTGAACATGGAAGAAGGGGCCATAAGCCCAGGAATGTGCTTGGCCCCAAGAAACTGGAAAAGGCAAGGGGACAGACTCTCCCCTAGAGCCTCTGAAAGAATGCAACCCCACCGACCCCTTCGTGTTAGCCCAGTGAGACCCATTTCAACCTCCAATCTCCGGAACTGTAAGACCATAAATGTGTGTCGTTTTAAGTCACTGAGTGTGTGGTCATTTGCTACATCAGCCACGGAAAACAAATGATCCCAGCCTGAGATCTTGCTCCCACTCTAAATCAGGTTGCGTCGACCCTACAACATGAGTCCCTTTGAATTACCCAAGCATTCCAGACTGAGATATCAACCAGAATGCCACAGTATTTATCTGCAAGGAGAGATCTACCTGTTAGCCAGTCTCCTCAGCTTGGCATGACTAGCATCCCCCCTCCCATTAGGCGGACCAGCACAGGAAGGCTATCTGGAAGGACGCTGAAGAACACAGAATCAGAGCGAGCAAGGCAGATGAGTCACCATGCTCCCAGCTCCAGCTCAGAGCCCGTTGCACTCGTGCCCACAACAGAAGCAGCCCTGCCATGGGAACCCTCCCACCGGAGTCTCTCGGCTACAGTGCCCTCTATCTTGGGCAGTATTTGGAAGGCACCTGTCAACACCACCTTCTGAGAAGCTCCTCTTTCTCCGCATACTTGGCTTACCAACACCTCTTCAAAGTGTGTGTTTTCTTTAGTACTATGACAATTAAATCGGTAATACATTTAAAGCACTTAGAATACCAGAAGCACTCAACAAGTATCTGTTATTACCATTATTACTATATTCAATCCAGCTGTGTCAAGTACAGCGGCACTGGGGCCCTTTTATCAAGGGGACTTCATCTTCCCACTCTGCTCTTCATGCCCGGGTGCTAAATTTCCAAGTTCTCGAGGGGAGCCTCATCCCTCGTACCGAAGGCTCAGTGGTGATTATACAAGGCCAGCCAGGATCACTGTCGGGTGAGCCGCAGGACCCTTTTCAATAAATGAGGAAAAGGAGGGGAAGCTGTGAATCCAGTGCCTGGCATAGAGAGGGAACTCAGGTGTTTACATCCATACTCATTCAGTCTCTGCGAGGGGCTCAACTGTCCCCTCCGAATGCATATGCTGAAGTCCCAACCCCCAGCACCTCAGAATGTGACTCTGCGTCAAGATAGGGCCTTAGGGATGCCTGGGTGGCTCAAAGTCAGGTAAGCATCTGCCTTTGGCTCAGGTCATGATCTCAGGGTCGTGGGACCGAGCCCCCGCATCGGGCTCCCTGCTCAGCGGGGAGCCTGCTTCTCCCTCTCCCTCTGCAGCTCCCGCAGCTCCCCCTGCTCATGCTCTCTCTCTCTCTCTCTCTCAAATAAATAAATAAAATCTTTTTTAAAAAAAAAGATAAGGCCTTTAAAGAGGTGTTGAGTTACCATGAGGCCCCGAGGGTGGCCTCTGACCCAGTCTGACTGGTGTTCTCATAAGAAGAGATGAGGACACACACAGAGCCCCCAGCCATGTGCCCCCGCAGAGGGATGCCCGTGTGAAGAGGCATCATCAGGGCAGCATCTACAAGCCAAGGAGAGAAGTTTCAGAGGACACCAACCTGCTGGTACCTTGGGGTCAGGCCTCCAGCCTCCAGAGCCATGTGAGAAAGTGAATGTCCGCTGCTCAAGCCGCCCAGTCGGTAGTCCTTGGTCAGGGCAGCCCCGAGCCCACCGACCCGCTCCCCTCTCGAGAACCAATACTTCAGCATCTCTGAACAACAGAAGGTTGGGGGGTGACTTCACAGAAGCCCCTGATCTCTCTGCGGGCCTGAAAAGCTGTTTTGTACAAGAAGAGCACATGTGTTCCCACCCGCACCCGGCTGCTGGCTTGGCACCCACGAGACGGTTCTCAGTCCCTGAGGAGGGAGGTGCCGTTAGCTTCCCAGCCCCCCGCCCCCCCAGAGTCCTGCTTAGAGAGTCATGCCTCGTAGCCTGCAGAGGGTACGCCACAGGCACTGTGGATACGAGAAGCTGTAAAATCGCACATGACAGATTCGTGACATCCCTGAGGGAATAAATAGGGAGAACAGATGGAGAGATGAGGCAGGGAGATTTCATTTAAATCTTAATAACATTTTGATAATTTAATGAATGTGGTGGAAAAGAAAAGCAAACCAGTGCCAGAGAAATAAAACAGTTTGCCCACCTTGGCGTTACCCCAAGATGATCTGCCCAGAAGGAGGGGCACAAGGTTCCATGGACGAATCATTTCCTAAAGGATATTATGCATCTTCTCTGAAACTGCCAGAGCTAAATGTCTCTCAATATAGAGAGACATTCAGAGCAACACAAGGCACCTCCTCTTTCCCTATGCACTCTTCAGGGCACGTCTCGTGGCCACAGTCCTCCGCGCAGTCCCAGGTGATTTCCAGGTAAAGGGGAAGGGGGATCTTATAGACATGCAGGGGACACAGACCAAGTGTGCTCAGAGCTCAGGTTTGTCCCCCCTGCTGATAGCTTATCTATACATCCAGCCTGTTCCCAAATCACCTCTCCCTGCTCGTCCCTGGAGACCTTCATGAAGACGGGCCCAGTAGAGAGAAAAGAGCACTGCACGAGGAGTCCAAAGGCCTGGATCACAACTCTATCATGCACCAACCATGGGACGTGGGGTATGTAACTTAGCTTCCCTGTAAAGTGGAAAGAAGACTTCCTACCTTGCAGGAATCTATTGCACAGAGTAAATGAGGTCTACTCTTCAGACAATAGTAGGCAAATAGCTGGCATTCAACAAATGCAAATCCCTTCCACCACCATTTCTGTCCCACAAATAACACAGCAGACACAGGGGCCCATGAGTGTTCCCTGCATGGATCTTGACTTTTGAGGTGATTCCTCGAGAAGCAAATGCAGGCTCTATGGTTTTATGGCCCACCCACACTGTCTCGTCCTCGAGCTCTTATTTAAATAGATGTCTTGGAAAGTGTAGGACTGAAAACAGGTGAAAGGTTGGGGAAGACGAGCCCCAGATGTAAAATATCTTAACTGGGACATCGAGTTTTGTTAAATCACGGAAAGAGGAAACAAGTAGCTAAAAGTAGCAGAAAGGCTGGAGAAGGAGCCAGAACTGGGAAATGCCTGCTCTACAGCAAGCATACTGGCAGAGAACAAGCAGGGGACTGGTGTCCAAATGGCTCATGATGCATAAGGATGGGGCAGAGTCAGCCCAGCAGGAGAAAGCTTAGTGATTAAAGATGATTCAGACAGAAAAAACAGCCCCAGGCATGCCAGCTTTCCTGACTGAGTCCCCAGAAAGAATGTCTGGGGACCCCATTTGTGAGCATCACCACCTAAGTCTTGATAGAGGAGAGGGAGGGCACCGATGATAAACACCCACTCTGAACCAGGCTCTACGCACATCTTACCTGCATCCACAGCATCCCTGGCCTAATGGGACATATGTCAATGAGATAACAGGTTCATAGGGCTTGACGTAGTGGAAGATTACCAAACGGGGACTGTTTAGCACATATTGGGAATACAGTCTTTGTAGTAAGACTCCTGGAGTCAATGGGCAAGATTGTATTAAAAATATTATTGATATTAGGGCACCTGGGTGGTGCAGTCAGTTAAGTGTCTGACTCTTGGTTTCGGCTCGGGTCATGATCTTAGGGTGGTGAGATGGAGCCCCACATCAGGCTCTGCATTCAGCATGGAGTTTGCTTGAGATTCTCTCTCCTTCCCCCTCTTCTCCTGCTCATTTTCTCTCTCTCTCTTCTAAAATAAATAAATCTTTTTAAAAATATATTATTGATAAAAATACACACTTTCTTGAGGTGGGTGTGGAAGGCAAGGGAGTGGCAAAGAGGAACTAATGCCCTGATTAGGATGAGGACCCACCTGGTTTAAGAGAGTGGATGTTCTGATCTCATTTGCTGCTATTTCTACACCAACTCCTATCTCTTCCCTTCCAGCTAAGGAGTGCCCTGTTTGGTTTGCCTGGCTATGGAGTCTATCTTCAGAAGGAAAAATATATATATATAAAAAGGTACAAATTATGAGATAATATAATAGGCATGAAAGACAAAGAAACAAAACTCTAACCAATAATTATGGGTGACGCCAGCAGGAAAATAAAAATGGTAGAAACCAAAACAATAATTGAAGACGTACTTTATCACCGGGTAACAACCTTTGGCTGCACATCGGGGTCACTTTACTTAAAAAGTCGATTTCCCAGCCCCATTCCTATAGTTTTGGGCTTTCCTAACTGTCTCAGGACAGTTAGGACAGTCAGAAAATTGATTTTTGTGTGTGTGTGTTTTTTTTTTTAAAGATTTTATTTATTTATTTATTTATTTGAGAGAGAGAGAGCACATGAGAGGGGGGAGGGTCAGAGGGAGAAGCAGACTCCCTGCCAAGCAGGGAACCCGATGCGGGACTCGATCCCGGGACTCCAGGATCATGACCTGAGCCGAAGGCAGTCGCTTAACCAACTGAGCCACCCAGGCGCCCCGAAATTGATTTTTTTTTTAAATAAACTCCTCAGCTGATTCTGATGTACAGTCAGGATTGAAAACCATAGCACTAGATGAAAACTTGCCTAAGGTGACAAAACAAAAATTAGTTTGTTCATAGACTAGTTCTCTGCCACTTCAATTTGCAGAAATCTTAAGGAAAGGATTCTATTGTAGAGGTTAACAGCTCAGGTTTCAGGATCAGAAAGCTCTGAGCGGGTGCCACGGCTCTACTGTTTGCCATCTGAATCATCTTGGGTAAGTTGGGAGGATTAAATGAGTTACTGAATTTAAAGAACCCAAAACCTCACACATATTAGATTCTCAAAAGGGTTAGTTTCTACTACTTTATTATCATGGTTTTAAAATGAAAAGCTTTATAAGGAGACTGAAAATAAACATAGAGTAAATAATCTTACCATGTCTGGACCGCCAATTCTCACCAAATTAGTTTGTAATGTAACTACATAAATATAAATGTAATTTGTAATGAAATTAAATTGGATTTTTATCCAAATTCCAATAGGATTATTTTTTAACTTGGCAACATGATTCAGCAATTCATCTGGAAGAATAAATGGGTGAAAATAGCCAAGAAACATTTTAAAAGAATGAAGAGGGACTTGTACTGCTAGGTATTAAAACATAACATAAAGCTAAAATAATTACATTAGTTTGGGCACCAGAAGCAGAGAGATCAAATGGAACAAAATATAAGGTGGCTTTTCAATTCACCGGGGAAAGGAGGAGTATTCACTAAGTATGTATGAAAGAACTGACTAACAATGGGTAAGTGGACTAAAATAAAGATAGATCCCTACCTCACACCAAGTCATAATAAAAGTCCAAACAATTGATACTACATCACATAGAAAATCAAAATAATAAAAATAGTTAAAATTTACAGATGAATACTTTCCTGATTTCAGGGTAAAAAAGGACTTCCTAAGCATAAAATGAAAGAGATCTTAACTGAAAATACTGGTAATATGAGCATATAAAACTAGATTTCTACATGGCAAGAAGACGACATAAATACAAAGTTAAAGGTAAATACACTGGGAAAACATTTACAGTAATTGTCACTGATTTAATATACACAGAGCTCTTACTGACAAATACAGAAAACACCAACACTCAATCTGAAATGGCATAGGGCATGGAAAGACAGTGCTTAGAAGAGGAAATACAATTAGTCAGTTAGTAAAAGTGCTGAATAACATTAGCAATCAAATAAATGAAAAGTAAAATAAGATATTTTCTCAATTAGCAAACTGACAATGTTTGATTTTTTTCTCTTAAAGATAATACTTCAAGCAAGGATGCATGGGGGGGTCCTCATACATTGCCCGTTGTAGGGTAAATTAGAACAAACTTTGCAGCTAGCCGACGAGAAGCACAAATAAAGAGCTTTACAGCGTCTAAGTCTTATTATTTTCCAAATCTTATTCAATAGCAAGTACCAGTTCTCTGATCAGAAAAAAAAGAATAGTAAGTATAAGGAAATAATATACTTATTGGACGGCAAAGCTGAATACTCACTAATTTCACCAAAAGATTTGGATAATCTCAAATTTCCTTGCAAATACAGGCTTGAAACAAATCACACTTCATATATTACATTAGTTTACAAAAACCAGAGCCAGAAGTGGGATTTGTCACTTGCTTAATTCAGGCAGGTCATCAAGCAGCCCAAACCTAAGCATGAGAACAAATGAATTGCTAGCCATAGCTTTGTACTTGCACCTCAAATGACAGAGAACCTTCAACACAGATTACCTTTCCTCATCCCCGTTAGCCACTAATCTCTCCCTGAATGCTAAAGGATGATCAAATGAGGAAAAGATTTATCTTTAAAAAGATAGCTCTTACCGTTGGGAAAAGCATGTTCCCCCAGAAATGCCAACCTTTTGCTCCTTGCAAAGATAGGTTTTCTACCAGGATTTTGTTTATGTATTTTGGACCCTCCCTTATTCTCAAAAGTGGAGCAACTTGGCAGAGCCTCCTGCAGAGAATTCCATCTGCTGCCGGCCAGAGAGAAGCTGGAGATTAGGAGTAAAAGCCAGGAATCCCAAGCGGATCAGCCAGCGTGCCCACACCCCCAGACCCTGCCTCCATGCAGAGAGAGCTCATTAGCCAGTGCATAAAATTTGTAAGACTCCAAACTGAGCTGAAGGAGCTATAAAGAGGAGCCAGAAGTGGAGAAAGGAAGTAAACTAATTTTGTTCATTCAAACTAGAATGGGAGTGAAGCATAAACGCAGCAGCAATGGTGATGGTGATGATGATGATGATGATGATGATGATGGTAGGGAGATGTCCCTCCCTGGCATTACTCTGGT